AGCCATTCTTCGGTAAACACTGTGACCCATTCAGTACAGTCACCAGCATGTATTACCTCACATTCCTTTGTGCAGGATCTACAGAAGTTTGGCACATCTGGAGGAACCAGTGGCACTGCCCTGACACAACAGTTGAAAGTACCACGAACTGTAAGGAACAGGAGGGGCAAGGCTGTTGTGAATACAGGCTCAACATACACTCTGCTGTGTGGTACAGTGTCAAAACACTAAAGGATACACTTACCTCTTTGACTAGAGACCCCCTCTATCTGGCAGATGGGACCCCAGGCAGCCCCTTGGGTGGAGAAAGAACTGAGCCTACAAAATAAAGTCTGGCAGGTGTTTGTGGTGATACTTGACTCCAAAACCCTGACATTCCCTGCACTGCTGGGTTTAGACTTTGTGTCCTTTACAGGTACTCAGCTTGATGTTGTGGACGGGGCATACTGGTTTCGGGGAAATGAAGACGAAAGATTTTCCTTCTGTGCAGAGTCCCCTCTGCTAGGAGAGGGGAAACTAGCAACTATGTTCCTTTCTTTTCTGTGGAAGCACCATCGGCCACTGCACTGTTGCCAACACAGACTTGGGGAGACATGGACAATCCTGAAGGCAGTCCAGGAGTCTCACCTCCACAAACATCTGAAATCTCACTTAAACAAACTACTAAGCAACAATGCTGATGAGTGTGCAAAAAAAGTTGGCTGCACTAAGCTACTGAAACAGCAAAGCTTTCCCACCAATCCACTGCCTATTCGACAGAAGCCGTGTTGGGTCTCTTCTCCTAAGCAGAAGGTGATGAAAGAACTTAGTGAAGAGATGCTCAAGGATAATGTTATCGAACCCTCTTGTTCTGCTTGGGCCTCATCTGTAGTCCTGATTCCTCGGAAAGTCAGCAAGCCACAGTTCTGTGTTGATTTCAGAAAAGTGAATGAGAATACAGTCACAGATGTCCACCCCATTCCCACAGTCCAGGATATACTGGATAGTCTTGATGTGCTGCTGTTTCCTCCTTGCTCAACTTAAATAGGTGTAAATGGATCCAGAGGTGTGAGAAATTTCCACCTTTATCTGCGTTCTAGGTCTGTTCCAATTTAACATCATGCCATTTGGACGGAAGAATGTCCCTGCTCTGTTTCAGAGGCTAATGGAGAGGGCACCCAGTGAACTTAAAGGTGTCATTTGTTTCATGTACTTGGATGACATCATCATTTTCTCCCCATTCTGGAAGCAAAACTTCTACGATGTCCAAACTTTCCTTGACAAACTCTACAGTGCTGGCCTGTCTATCAACATGAAAAAAAGAAAGATGTTCAGGACCTCTCTGAAATTCCTTGGCCATGTTGTGTCCGCCACTCGAGTTCATGGTAATCCAGAGGTTCCTGGGCATGGCAGGGTGGTATCATTGATTCGTCCCCAACTTTTTTTCAGATTGCTGAGCCACTCAATTCCCTAACAGCAAAAGGAGGCAGATTCATCTGGTTACCGGCATGCACAAATGCTTTTGGGTGTCACCCAAGGCAGTACTGGTCCAGAAATTAGACCATGCAACTGAGGAGGTCCTTGCTTTTGCCATCTGCAGCCTAAATCCAGCTGAGAGGAATTATGCGGCCACTGACTTGGAATGTTTGGCTGTGGTGTGTGCAGTGGAAAAGTGGAGAACTTCTCTGGAAGCCCGGCTTTTCACTGTGGTTTAACGATCATACCTCTTTTCTGTGGGTCTTTAAAACCACCAAACCCAGCGTTCTACTCATCAGGTGGGCACTCAGGCTTCAAGAGTTTACTTTTACTGTGGAACATAGCAAGGTAAAGTAGAACATCGTGTCAGATGCCCTGTCCTGAGCCCCAACAAAACATCAGCCCACTTCACCTGTGTGTGCTACCCTCATGTCTGCCTCCCTGGGATCATCAAAAGAGCTGTTGTTTCGAGGCCGTGTGGAAGGCACAGCAGGAAGACACTGAATGTCAGACTCTACATGAAAAGGGGGTAGAAAACAGGAGGGTTTTCATAAACTCAACCATCTCCTTCATCACAGTGGAAGATCTCCTTTACCATGTTGGCACACTACTAAACAAAACTATCTACTAACTTTACATAAGTGCCAGCTTCAGGGTGTAACCACTGGAGTATTTCCACCAGGACGTCCTTTCTGGTCATCTTGGGTGACGTAAAACCTTCTAAAGACTGCAACATGTAGTGTATTGGCTGAAGCTGAGTTTGGATGTCCGACAGCATGTTCAGAGCTGTAAAGTATGTCAAATACACAAACCTGAAAACAGAAAACTGTCACGAAAACTTGAGCAAAACTGCCCGTCACCCCAAAGTCAACCCCACTGTGAGTGGGAACCCTGCAGAGTTGAACCTTGGTCGCTCGCTGAGAGGACCTCTCCATGTGAACCTGGGAGACGGCTCCAGACTCCCCTATTTATACCACAGTTAGAGGATTTCTGTTCCTTTGCTTCCAAAAATTTGGACTGTGCCTGACACCATCAGAAAAGGAACCATTTGAAGCAGAGACATGACATGTAAAGGAACTAGCTAGAGTCTGGGTATGAGCTCATCCACTGTCCAAAGCAGAAAAGTCCTTTGCTGCCAATTTAGCCCCTAAATGACAAGGACCGTGTCTGGTGGTGCATCAAGTTGGGCCAGTGAACTACCAGGTGGTATTAGGGACTTCAGATCAAGAATTAAAGGTTGTGCACATTTCCCGGCTAAAACCATGCTTCACCTCTGCTCCAGAGCTGCAGGGGCAGAAATGCAAGCGCTAAGACTCTGATGAGGAGATCTTCTTGGGTTTCTCCAACACCGTATGTTCTGCTCTCAATGGAGGCCAGGCAAAAGTGGCTGTCGGGGGACAAGAGGATTACCTGGATGAAAGCATATCTGACTCAGACATCGAGCCTGGTTACAAACCCGGCACCCATGAAAAACCAGACACCTTAGGATCAGTTACAGCTATTTAACCTTGGTCGGCTTCCGCTAAGGGGGGAGGAGTGTAGCAACTGCTGTCAGAATTACATCACACACATTCAGTCAGGTTTGTCTCGGTTACCACTCACAATCCTCCATTAATCCAATCCTAACTTTTCACATCGCCTGTGTAGTTTGAAACCTACCTCCAGGACTTATTGGTGTAAGTCTAAGAGACGCCAGTGTCTGAGTTAGTGGAGCAGAAGAATGCCAAATTCACCTCGGCATACGATCACGTCTCTAAGTCATACTTTCTAAAGTACACTTTAGAAAGCATTTAGAAAGTATACTTTCTGCTTAATTTACATTTAAGATGCTGCTTTTGCCATTTTAACAGTACAACTATCATAATTATGGAAGGCACTGCTCCCGATAATTATACTTTATTTTTATTTTATTTTTTAAAAAAGGCAATAAAAAAAACTATTTATAATCAACCCTGCCACCGATAAATAACTAACGCAATGTATAGACATACAATTTCTGTTTCAGTGCCACATGGTTGGAGATTTTCTCCATTGCTTGCTTTTTTTTTTTTTTGAAAGGCCTACACAGATTAGCTCTGATGCCAAGAGGTGGTTATTTCACATCATTTAAACACTTTTTTTTTGCAGTTGTTGCATGTAAATCGGACTTGATACAGCACAAGTCTTTAGGTGAGAAGCTGACTGTCCCGAATCTCCACGTGAGGTCGATGAGGCACAACTGTATTATTGTCAATTCAGCAGAAAATGTACTTTCTAAATGCTGAACTGAGTTGTGGTCTGCCCGTCTGTTTGTTTGAGCATTATTGTCTGTTTTGTGTATGTTCACTCTCCAGTCACTTTACCTAGTTTCGTATGGTTTGCCAGTTTGGCTATTTTGTTTTTTTATTTGTCAGACTTGACTGTGACTGGCACCCTTCATCATTAATCGGTGTCAAACCCGCTACAACACACACTCATTTACTTACACACACACTTTTGTAGTGTCCCCTGTGGAGAATACAGTGACTGCTGCACCCTATTATACTGTATCAGTGTATTGCATTACAGACCTACTGTTGTCATTGTACAAGGAAACATTACCATGCTCACTCTCTTTCTGATCATCAGTGCGTACATGCATGCATTTATGTGTGTCAGTGTGTGTGGATGCTGCTTTGGTCCTTTTAAACATCCAGCCAGCCATAGGAATTATATAATTTTAAAAGTATATAAATTCTTTGTTACTTCTATCTCACATTTTATAACTCACATCCTATCACAAAGACACTGCTCTTGCTCCAACACCCAGAGTCACATTTCATAAAATGGACTTCATTCTGCCAGATAACGGACAGGCAAAGACTATTCTCTGTCCAAATTTTGTTAATGATGCTACTGTACAGCGGCGGAGGGCATTTCTCACTTCATCATTAATCATTAAGTGGCGCATCAACTTAAAAAATGTTGGAGTGTTGCTTTTATTCACCCCAGTGAGCTGATTTGTTGCAGTGGAGATTTTCTTTAAACAGATAAGCCAGCTGCCGAACATTAGCCGAGGTAACTGCAATCTGCAATGGAAATCACACATACAAATGTGAAAATATGGCTCCATTTTTTTTGCATCAGCTAAGATTTAAATTTCATCTGCAAGCTTGGAGAGCATTGCCGAAAATTAAGCAGGAAATGTCGGTTCGTAGTAATAACAGGCATGGGGGGGGGGTGTATCTGTGGCCCTGCTGAAATTCAAATTAAAATTTTACACTGACCCTGGTGAAGCATGCAGGTCTATTTGCTGAGGCTGGACATTTGAAAATTGCATATGTTCTCAGTAAACTAGCTGCAACTTGCATGGCACGAATGTTACAGCAGTTGAGAGAATTATAATATTTTAATAGATATTTGACTCTGAAATTTTGGCCCACCGAAAGCTGCAAGACATGAAAAATAATTATGTTTTATGTCTGTGCCAGATTATGAGGAGGAAGTTAGACATAGTACATAAAAAGAGAAAGAGTGGGAGTGAAAATCCACAACACGATACACAACAAAAGAAGACCTTTAAGATACAAGGTGCACAAGTTACGCAGTTTTATTGTTCCTTTGACTGCACCATACAACCTTGACATCAAAGATAAGGATGTCTCTCATTTTACAAGAGAGAATTGTGGTAATGTTAAATATCCCACAACAAAATGTCATTCTCTATTTAGAAAATGCAAAAACAACAACAATTAAAAAAACAAAAAAAAGTACAACCACACATCTCAAAGAATAGGGCTGGAAAAAAAAAAAAAAAGAACAGTAACACAGAGCTGGATTATTTGGCAGCGACTGTCTAACTTGCCAGGATTTGATCCACTGGGAGTGACAGATGAGTGCATTTGGCACTGTCATTGGTCCACAACAGGTCGCAGAGAGACTCCTGCCAGGTGGCAGAGGGAGACATATATTGCATTGTTACAAATAAACAACCCAACGCTTTTTCCAGGAAGGAGACAGCAAGATGAAGGAGGACCTTCTTTTACCCCATTATGCCTGCCCATGCCCGTTCTTTTGTTCAAGAAGACAGAAATTAGGAGAAAAAAAAACAACAACACAGAAGCCAGCATATGTGCGCATGAGCTCATGTAAACTGTCTTATCAGTGATGAAAGTAATGTAATTTGTCGGTAAATACTGAGTGCACAGGTTTTGTGAATTGGACTAAAAACTACCTCTAAGTGGATAGCATCAACAACAAGTGAACTCATGTGATAGTCATTTATACAAAAAGCACATTCAGATGCAATCGACTGCTTTGGAATTTCTTTCCCCACAAAGAGTTTTTACAGTACTGCAGCATCCAAGAACAAAAGAAAACCATTACATTCAAGCATTTCTGTCACTGTGCTTTGGAAGTGATAGCAACAATGTGAACATTACCATTTCTGAGCAGCCTTTAGAGTGCTCCTTCCCATTAACCCACGGTCTGAGGCGCCGCTTTAGATGTCCGACATTGTCCTATTTGAAGCACAGGGATGCGTGAAGTTGAGCGGGTGTCTGTTCATCAGTGTGTAAGGATTACCTGACAGTAGGTGTGGTCGTTATACGCAAGTGGCTGGGTTTGTTGGGAAGAGGTGGCTTGATGCCACGGGGAGGGGTCTGTGAGGGGCTTGTGGTATTATCAACGCTGAAGGTTTTCATCAGCTGAGCCACCCTGCCACGCCCTGCGCAGGTTGGCGCATTTCCTGATTTCCCGGCCTCTTCAGAAGCAGCTCTGCCAGGTGTTTCTGATGTACCAATATCTGAAAAGAAGTGGATGAGATTTCCTTAAGAGGTTTAAAAATATGAATTACAACCTTATTGCTGTATACAGAGAGCCGATTAACTCTGATTTTGTGGTAAACCCCTAGAAACTCATCTCCATGTTTTAAAATTACATGTTTCCTATTTTTTTCTATCATCAGTTTATGTCTTAAAATGGCTTTGATGAAACTCTACACCTTTGCATCCTTTACAATGTGCAGATCTATAAAGTCCTGCCTCTGTCTATACTCGTCCCTCCACTACTTGCTGCAGCTTGAGCACACCAGCTCACCTGCGACTCTGATAAAACAAAGTCAAACAAATCTGCTTTACACAATGGAAAGCTGCAATATCGGAATGATTTAATATGATCAATTCTGAAGGAGAATGACGACAAAGTCCCACCCTCCAACTTGACAGTGTCATCAGTACGCTGCAGCTTCAAGGCGGAAATACTTAGCCATGGTGCTGAATGCTTAGTTTGCTCATGATGTGTCTTCTAGCACATAAAAAACACCATATGGACATGGTAATAAGATCATAAAAGTGGTTTTCATCAGATGGGGGGCTTTAAATTTCCATTTCAAAAAAGGAAAAACATAAAATTATATTGTGTATTGTAGATATTTCCAATGTGGTTGGCTTTCAATTTAAAAGCAATTATGATACACCAAACAGTTTATCTGCCATAAACTCTATTAAAGTAACCCACAGTGGTCAGTGTCCTCCTTCAGGAGAAATATATATATATATCTGTGAAAACCAGTAAACACCATAAACAATGAGTGTTACACATTCAACACCACATGTTGAAAGAGCATGAATCTGGTCTTAAACTACCCGACCGTTTCCCTTCTCCGAATGCGATGCCGAGATCTTTCTTCACTCTTTTCTACCTTTTTTCTCCTTTTCATTCGTCTCCCTTTATCCCACTCTGGCTGAGCAGAGGTCATCCTCAGTGGAAGTGTAGTAGGGACACAGCTGGGTGTAGTTTGTGTATGTGTGTGTGCGCTTGCTGAGGTACTGTGTTTGGAAGAGGGTGTAATTGAGGGAGGAATGGAGGGAACAGGAGTAACGAAGGGGAGGGAGGGCCACAGGGACGGCAATGGAGAGCAGACAGACGCTGCTCAGACACCAGAAGGCTTGAGGAGCCACATATTTTTAGCGTCATCCCCGGGGGACAGAGATATGTGAGAGCACCTGCGTGCATGGCTACAGACACACTCACGCTCACACTCACACGCATACACGCGCGCACACACACTCACACACACACGCTCACACGTACACAAAATAAAGTGAAAACATGCACAAACGTACACACAGTTTCCAACAGTTGAATTTCAAAAAGACACGCACGTTCTCACATTACATTCAGGCCCGTGCATGCTCTCACACACACACAAACACGAACCCACACACACACACGCACACTCACACACACTCCTCCTGCTCACGGATTCAGTCACGCATGCAGCCATCTCTGACTAACACCACGGCGCAGCACACACACAGAGGTGGGGTACAGCCAAAACTGCACGGGCACTCCTGGGGCCAGGAAACCTTTAAAGCTCTTGATGTCTTGCAGGCATGAAAGGGAGAGACCTAAAGTAGCCTTTAAGGTTGTGTTATTGTTTATTGTTGTTTGCTCTCCTTTTCCCTCCTCACGCTCACTCTCGCTTGTCACTCTCCCCACGGCTCCAACACCTCCCTCTACCTTCCTCTTCATCTTCCTCTCCCCCTGTCATGCCCTGCCTTCCTCTGCCCCCTGACCCGCGGTTCCTGTGTTAATGTCCTCTCGCCGCGCTGCGTGGGCTTGCCTCTGATTGTCTCGTTGTGTTGTGTGGTCACCACGGAAACCTTGGATAGGCTCCAGCAATTGAGGCTGACACACATTCAGGCACGCACCAAACACACACACACACACACATGCGCACACACACACACACACACACACACAGATGCACACAAACACAGACGCAGGCACATACACACTCATGGTCAGAGAGTTTTTTGAGCTCAGAGCCTTGGTGCAGGTCTGAGTGGAATGCTTAATAGAAAGACCGAGAGATAGAAAGAGAAAGAGAGGGAGGATTGGTGTTGTGTTCAGGGACTATATATATATATATATGTATAAAATCTGAAGCATAAAAACCCCTTAATACCTTCCCACAGGTAGCCTGACTAACCTGTCTTCACACACCCTGAAAAAAATGCTCAAACTCCACGCCTTTCTGAGTGAAACTCTCCCCAGCAGCTGCACCCTGAGCCCTGTCCGCAGAAACAGTCATTAAAGCTACCTGCAAAAACAGCCATTAAAATTAAAGAGAATCTGCGCATTAAATCACTCATCGAGATTGATTAATCTTCCGTTTGAGCTTTCGGGTGCCACTCATCACATCTCGGTCCGGCTCGTAAATGTACAGGGAGGACAAAGAAGAGGGGGCGGGAAGCTGGTGTCAATGAGCAAGCTAGCACAAAAATTAAAGGCCAATCTATCTCTTTAAAGACCTCGACGTCTCTGGCGGAAAAAAAAAAAAAGAAAAGAGGAGGGGTTGGGTGGGAAGGTGGTGGTGGCGGCGGTGGGGGGGCAGAAGTGGGGCAGAGGGCAGAATTCCCGAGCAGCACGTCTATGGACTGAAGGGCAGGGAGGAGGAGAGGTGTAGGTGTGTGTGTGGGAGCAGGCTCCTGTGTGGGGGCTGGGGCCCCTGTCACTTATCAGCTCTGGCTGAGCGTCGCCCAGGGCTAGAGTCGGGAAGCAGCGCTGGAATGCGTGTCCTTCCCTCTGAAGGTGAAGAGAGAGCAGAGGAAAGCCGACGGACAGACAGGGACGGGTTTATAAACACAAACACGCACGCATGCACGCATTAACATACCGCCAGCTGCTGAACACTGATAGACTTTCATGCTCACGTACCTATCCTCAAATCACGGCCTGTACACATGCTGTCGGAACATATATTTCTGCATCTCTAGGTGTAGTTTTAAACTCATACTGAGTCTACAGCCCACCCTAATTATCAGAAACATTATCCATAATATAGCTTTCACTTTCAATTATATGCAGATGACACCCAACTCTAACATAATGTCCAACTCATCAGTCATCAGCTTCACTAGTTTTCAGTGAAAAATTGCATTTTATTTTTTTTTAGAAAGAGTGAATTGGTATAAACTAATTTTCACCTAGATGTTATATCCCGTTGTTCCCAAAAGCTTTATTTCCTGCTGAAAGCAGACTCTGATCATTGCAGGTTGCAGTAAATGAGATTCTTGAAAGTGCAGAAAATGCTTTAGGTAATAGACACTGAGGAGAAAAATGGTGAGAAGAAAGGATTTGTAATTAGCAAGTTATTTGCTCTAAGTACATCAATGAACACTGCTTAAAATGTCATCATTTATTTTTTGCATTGATATTTGCTGTTCTTCTTACCCAACTCAAAATATCTTTAATCTTTGGGATAAGATTTTAATTTTTTAAGCGAAGAAAACAAAACAAAAAAGAGTTAAGACATGTGGATCTAGTTTTGCAGACAACAATACAGTGGATTCAGTGAATTAAAACGCTTATTCCATCCCCTAACCTGCAGAACAATCACATGACTTTCCTGATATTTGATAACAACATCTTGTCAAATTAAATTCCTCCCATACAACATCCACAACATGCAGGAGTTTAGAACAGTGTAAGTCCAGCTCAGAGGCTGCTTATAAATCCAAATGGATGTCACTAGAGCAGGTTATTAAGTTATTTTTCTACAAGTGCTACGAGGGCCACAGACCCGCTCACAGGACGCAGGAATTCTTGTCATTACCCGCATTCAAAAGAAAACAGCTGAGGCATGAGCCTTATCCTAGTTGGCCTCCTCCTCCCCTTGGAACAAGCTTCCTGCCATTGTCAAGGACAGACACTCTGTCAGTATTTTTTTGTCCAGAGTCAAGACACATTTATTCAGCACTGTGTTCAGCCCACCTCAACTCCCACCACACCAGCTGTTTAGCTGTTTGCCTTTCCTTTCCTTTCCTTTCCTCTTCCCCACATTCATCTGTTCGTCGCTGCCCTGGCATTGCTCAGGGATCTAATATCCAGCCACTAATGTGGGTGCAGGCACACATGCACAACATGCCCAATACCACGACTTATTGGAAATGAATATTTGTTTTCTATTTTGTATGCAGATTTTAGTCATTTGTACTCTGTGAAACTGTTCTTGTTCCAATTGATAAATCACCTTCAAATCTCGGCCCCCACAAACAGATTTAGCACTTGAAGGTATTACAGCTGAAATTCCTTCAAAAACTATTTTATTATGATATTCTGTGTTCAGTCCACTTTAGTTCAGTCAATATCTGTGAACAGGATTTCACAAATATTTCCACGATTTCTGTCTCTTGATGACATTATTATGAGTGTGTTAGCTCTCTTGTGTCTGGGTTTCTGAGAGATTTGCTTTGCCTCCAAATTCTACAAAGAACTGCCAGGAATGTTCAGAGTGAACCAGACACTAAAGAGTTTTTAGGATTGTTCCCCATTCAACTGTCTTTAACAAGTGCTCCAAACATGCCAGCAAAAGAATACACAGACAGTCAACTCTGACGAACTATCTGTGTCATAATATTGAGATATTGCTTTTGTGATTTTGTTTATTGGGGGGGGGGACTCTACACTGATGAAATTTGGCTCAAATAATGTTAAGATTGCGTTTCCAATTCTGCATTTATTACAAACCACACTAGTTTAACATTGCACTAATCAAGCCAACCTATTTGAATTAGTGTTCAAAGGAATAGAAATAAAGATCAAGTTTGTATTTAAGCTTCTTTGTTGCTTCCTAAGTAAAAGAAAAAAGAAAAATGTCACCCCAGACTAAGGTAACCTTCAGGAACTCTTGTAACCTGCTTGTAGTGAGAGCGTGTTGTAGGGTGAGCATTTTTCCAGCAGAGGGACCTTATGGAGATGACTTTTTTTTTTTTTTTTCCCCAACTGGACTTTTTTCTACAGTATCATTGATTTCCACTGGATGGTGCTAACTTCACCCATGTACTACCCATTTTTTAATGCATAACTGGGTCACTGTATGGTGAATGGTCAATTCATGAAACTGGGTGCAGGGTTTACACAGAAGTCTAGAAGTCATGTTCTGACACAATTCAAACAAGAAGGAATCTGTAAGACATATTGTAAGCCCTGGTGACAATAGGACTGATAGCACAGCCTAAGGTGTCCTTTAGGAAGATAAAACGAAAATCCTGAAAATCCCTGTTATCTAAGCAACGAACATCTGCAGAGACAAAGGTAAAGACGTGCAAGAGGTACAGAGCTCATAAAAGACACTAAGAGGCAAACAAAGAGACATACGCAGTATATCACTTGTTTGGAGAAAATTCATCAACAATGAAAACGACTTTAAATGTGATGCCTGTAAGGGTTGCTGTTATTGGCCACAATTTTTCCTTCATGGCTTCACACGGTTACCTGTTAACTCTGAGTTAAATTTCATCCAATACACATTATAAACAGCTAACTTTACTTTACATGCTGCTGAATATTAAGTTTGTGTTACTGAGAATTTTCAGAATTTTGTATAAAATGAACAGGCAACCAACCTTTCAATAGCTATTGGGTGGATTTGGAATATGACACATTATGATTACACCAAATAACTGAGATAAATTTAAGATTTGAAGTGAGATACATTTGTCCATTGACCAAAAATAAAGACACTGTCAAGTTTTGATGGATTTCTAATGCTCATTCGTATCTACATGAACAACCAGTGAAGAACCGGTGTTATATTCATCAGACCTTCCTCCACCATCAAACCCGATCTGGTTAAATGCAACACACCTCGACATATGTGCACCATAATATTGACAATTTCTCTAGAAAAATTCAACAAAGACAACAGCGAAGCTACCAAAGAAGCTGGTATTCACGAGCTTTGTGGTACCAGGGGACAAATCCCAGTCACATAAGCTTTTTTTCTCCTCCAGGCCTCGTTTACTCTGCCAGTCCATAAAGATTCCAGGGGGCTGAGGTACTATTTGGCGAGCACATTAGGCTCGGGCAAATAAATCCTTCTTCCTTGCTGCAGCACTGAGAAGCCTATCTAGTATGAACTTTGTTCAGACTAGTTCTGCTCAGCTCTCCACAGCCTATATTTCTCTGAGAGAAGAAGCAGTGGAAAAGGATTCGCTTGCTGGCCCAGTGGCTGGTGGTGAATGACATCTAAGCTAGCTGCGATATTGTGGACTCATTTCTTTAACCCACGTGAATGTCCAGTTTACTCTGATATGTATAAAACTAAATCAAAACAAAACAAAAGTGGCAGAGTAGGAATCACATATCCTAGTTGCAGGGATGTCTACTAGCTTTGCTTGTCTGTAATGACAGCAGCCATCATTAATGTTGCTTGTTTGTGTGCTTCTCTTAATTAGCCAGTAAATGAGAACCTGCAGGGACTAGAAAAATATTAGCTCATTTAGTGGACACAGTGGAAATTTTTCATATCAGCTACACCCGCGTATTCTTTGGAGGGTCTGGAGTGTATTCTAGCTGACAATGGGTGACAGGCAAGGTACACCATGGACAGTTCGCCAGTCAACCGCTGGACTTAAAAAAAATGCAATTTTTATTATTTATCTCGACATCAGAGCCAACATGCACCCTTACTTGTGATGCTATGCTCACTCACCTTTCCCACCCTGCGGTTCCTGGGGCTTCTGAGGTTCCTTTGAGCACAGATTATCTTTGGTTGATGACGTTGTTCCAGAGTCTATTTTGACAGTGCTGCTGGGGGAAGAGGACGACGCGGTGGTAGCCAGCCTCAGATTTGTGTTGCCGGGTCTCGTGTTGACATAGCCTGGTGCCGCATTTGCAGAAGCCGGTCTCACGTTGACAGGGGTAGCTCTCATGGGAGGCCTGGAGCAGATGGAGGGCTGGAGAAGTGACTTCTCCTCAGTTGCACTGGCTGACTTCAGCTCGGGCTGCGGAGTGAAGAGTGACAAAAGAGGACAGAAGAGTGCGATCAGTGTTGACAGCTAATTCACATACAGTGGAATTACTGTCATGTTTGATTAAATCATCGGATAAATGATTCACCAAATTACAGTTCTCCAATGACAACACTGTGCCATAATGAAGCACACAGAACTATGACCGCTGATTAAGAGTTTAAGGATGTGTGGAGAGAAAATTATAAGGTGACTTGAAAATCAAGCTGCCTCGCTAATCTTCCTTCCTGATCTTACGCCTTCTTAATCAACAGTCCCACTCTCGCCTCCTCTCTCAGGATGACTCCTTCCCTCTTTAAATCAACTGGAGAAAACCTGCGGTAGCGTTAGCAACAGCCCACTGCTACAGCACCAAACCAGCCTCTCGCTGTTTCCAGGAACAAATCAGTCCATCTACAAACAAGACATTCAACGAAATAATGAATCTTGCATAGGGGGAGGCTTATGCGGTGAATTCTTGGCTGACACACTGGCCAAACCTCCTAAGGTGTGGATGTTCATTGCCACATCAGCATGGGTGGGCCAGAGATGTGTTGGGGCCTGTAATATGGAGAGCCTGGTATAGATACAAGAAGTGAGGAAGAGACTCTGCCTTCTGTGACAAAGAGGAGGGAAAAACAGAGAACAGAGGAGAGCTCACGCGCCCAAACCTCATGAGACTATCCCACAATCCCATCCATCTGCGACTGACGCATTCTCTGTCTCTGGCGTTTTAATTCCCTGATCAAGTTCATCAACCATCTGTTCTAGGGCAGTCCAGAAATCCTGCCTTGCCTCTGTGATTCAGCTGTTCTTGCGGAGCGTGTCACCTGCACGCACGCACACACACGCTGTCTTGCATTTGCATGCACATAAACACTGAAAGGAGAAAGAAAGCGAGCGGAGATAGAGAGCGTGCTCTCCCCAGACAACGCAAGGCTGGAGCGATGATGGAGCCAGTGGGAGGACAGTTCGGTTCAGCTGTTCCCCGGAGAGAGCTATGAGGGGTGCGGCAGCTCAGACAAGCCGGAGCACAAGAGAGGGAGAATGCTGGGAGAAAGATGATCTGCAGAAAGGCTGGGAGTGAGGGGACAGCTGGCCCTAACCACCATTTCCTGTTACTCACAGAGGGTGGGACTGCCATGAAAAGACTCATAGGCACTCTAAAGCCACATTCTAAGTAGCTAAAGAGTAGATCACTATATTGCTTGCTGGAAAATGTGAGGCTGTATTTTAAAAATATGTTGTTCAGTGCAGATGTGACTGAAAAACAGACTTTTCTTTGTCATTTAGAATGCATCCATAAGGGGGGAAAGATCTTTTAAAAGTTGGAATTGGGTTGCAGAAATAAAAAAAAAAAAAACAGACTTTAATTCCTAAATACCTTTTCTGCTGCTGAAGGTGGTGAATGCTCACTCACTGACACCTGTGGGTTTAACAAAGACATTACATGAGTGTTCCAGGCCATGATGCAACCTGAGAGCATGCTGCTCGGCTGTAGCAGGCAGTTGTATTGACTCACCGGCAGAGGGAGCGAAGTACTCGTCTCCTCACATTTCCCCTGTTGGGAGAAACAGTGCCATGTTAGTTGATACTAAAGGCGACACGTCATCCTCTTTAACTTTGAGGCACTTCAGTGCTTGGAATGAGCAGGGAAAACGGAGCAAGGGCTTAACAGTCAGTGAAGAGATAAAATAGAGTTGCTCCTGTGAAAATATAGCACATGAGTATTTCAAAAACATATCTGTACAGTTTGTGAGTGTAACGTGCCTGCTGGAAAACCAAGTGACCGTGTTTCCACTGAGTGAGCAGCGTGCGGCTTTAGCTCGGAGAACCATCGTGGTCAGGCCAGATGAGACCAACCACCCTGGCTTGCTCTGGCTCAGTGTGTGCAAGGTTGCCATGACAACACAGCAAATCTCTTTTTGAGATAGCGTGAAAAAGGAGGCACCCCACACACACACACGCACACACTCACGCACACTCCAAAACCAACACACTGTGCACACACACACAACCAAAATATCACTAACCCAGAAATCATCTGCACCTCCAGCTTATTTTGACACAAAATAGAAGCCCGGAATAATAGGGCTAGATTCTTAATGGGGAGATTGATTTTCACCAGCTATGCTCAAAAGTCGAATTGATAGTTTTCATAAACTGCTCTGCAGGTAAAAGAAGTGAAAATGGAGTGGTGGAAGTGTTGGGTTTAAGATGGAAATATTGAATTGAGGGGACGATACAATGGCAAACATTTAAGGGATATTATGGCGTTTGATTGTAAGTTGATCTGATGGACCGTGATCCTATTACTCAGTCTTATCATGTCGTATTATATCAAACTTTTCATGTCCTTATCAGGTGTTTGTTTATTTAATCAAATAAAAAACGAGGTTTTTCGCCCTCTGTATTGTCTTGTTCTCCAGCTTGAGAATCACCATGACAGGCAAAAATGATTTGATCTCTCAGGGTCACAAACAAACAGCTTTGTACCTTTAAATTCAGTGAGATGCCAGGTTGTGTTTTAGGAGGAAGGTTCTCTCTTTCAGTTTTGACAGGTTCGGTGTTTTTTCTGCTCTTCAAGATAGCTTGATGGCTGTAACACATAATCACACAGTGTCATCTTTCTTTGCACGTACAGTATGCATATTCTCTTGCATAATGCCATATCATCATCACAGAAACCCTCTGAATCCCTTCAAATTACAGTCTGTAAGCAATGCTAATACACCGAAACGCAAACTCCTCTATGCACATTGTTCGCTGTCTGTAATCTCAAGATTCACTGTCTGTTTTGTATTGCAAATTACAAGAGTCTTACTACGTGTTGTTCTGAAGACTTGGTGATTTCTTCTCTCCAAATCCTGAGCAGATAAATTTGGAGGTCAGCTCATCCACCTCCCCGATCACAATGACCGCCACGTCTCCGTCCCGGCCGAGCAGCCAGCTCACACTCTTACTGTTGGCTGTTCAAAACACAAACACATGAGAACAATACGAGTTAACTGGCTATTGAAACACCAAGTAAACATTAGAAAGTGTGTGAATTACCCAAGAGAACCTTTGCTCAAAGAAAAGTTCAATAAATGCACAGTAAAACTTAAATATGGTCAAATATTTCAAATGAATATAACTCTCGTGCTTTATAATAAGAAGAAATAATAAGATTGAGAAAGGCTTTTGATATAATGCCTGTCCTTTTTAAATTGCTCAGTTTTATCAAGAATATATTCTCTGTAATTTTTGCAGGATTTCAAACCTTAGTCATAATTTGCAATTAATTATCTTGAAATTCTGTGTTATCAATACAGAGTTCTATTGAAATTTGGTATTGATAAGTATTCTGATCTCTGAGATAATCACTTGCAGCTCTGATCACTGTGATACTTAACTTTCATTTCAACAACAGTGTATCTGATAAGTTCAATCTGCCCAAACAGCGCAACACAAATATATAAGAGAGAACACTCATGCTCACATGGACAATATAAATAGAGTTAAAACACTTGAAAGTTGAAAATCAATGCATCTTTAGGTTCCCATGTCAAATTTAAACTCCTAACCAAAGAAATACCAAAAAATGTGTCTTGTGTTACACGCCCAGTGGGCTTGTTCATATTTGTCCTTCTTTATGAGGACATTGAGTCCTCAAGAGCTTAAAAGCACAAAAGCATACATGCGCACATGCATACAAACACATGTCACAGCCCTGTGACTGAGCATCGGAGCACAGCAGCACTATTTTATGGAAGTAACACAGCTGACGCAGGCCCAGAGGACGAGCTTGTTGGCTGAAAACAGAATAGCATACTTTCATAGTGAACTGGTTTTGCCAGCCTGCCCAGTGGATCACATTCCAGCAGGGCATACCGGGATGACAACAAAACCACAGAAGTCAGAACATACGTTGGTAAACAAGCCAACAACTCAAACTGACAGGTAGAACTACAACTCCACGGTCAGGTGCACGTGAGATTAATCCCGTCATCTGCACTTAGGGGCATTGTATATTATGTGCTGCCATACTGTATATCCTCATCCCTGCTGTAAAAGACAGAGTTAAACCACAAGTTCCAGTTTAGCCAACAATGTTTCCAAAACTACAGATGATGGTTTTCTTTATCTTAAGAACAACATCACAAGTTACCGGTCTGACAAAAGTTGAGTCACAGAAACTGTTTTTCTGCCTCGTGTGAATGTCACCAGTTCTCCATCAACACAAACACGCCAGCGTATGCTCACAGTCAGCACATACACAATAATTACCATAAAGTCAGCTTAACCACAGCAACAGCCCCATGATCAGGAAAGGCTAACAGCTAAATGTGAACTCTCAGCAACAGCTGAGCAGGACACCAGCTTCATTCTCTGCATTAAAAAAACAAAACAAAACAACAAACTTAGCATGTGAGCTTTCTCACAAGGCCGCCCAGATACAATCACACTCTCTCTTTGTTTTTCAAACACATACATTTCCTGCAAGCTTCCTGTTTCTCCCCTTGCTGATTGTTTGAAGGATTGAGTCTTGACTCACTTCCTATTTTTACACAGGAACACCAACTATCCACCATTTCCTTTGCACGAAAAACGAGGAGCTTGTGTGGAGAACCGTTGTGGCCATGTGATCTCAGCCTGCAGTCTCCATGCAGCCTCCCAAGGACAGCTGCATTGGTCATTAAGAGATAGAAAGAGCTCTGTTCCCTCACTCTGCACCACAGTTGATAGTAAGTACTTTGTGATTCGCCAAGACAAGACAGATCACATTACTATGTCAATCAAAGTTAATGCACCAGCTGCAGTGTGCTGTTAATTGGCTTTACTGTGATATTATTGGGGGGTTTGGCAACTGCTCTATCCTTCCAAACCTCTGTAGTTTGCTTTGTCATGTAGGAGCACTTCTTTAGAATATAAAAATAGAGCAATTTGTTATGTCAGCGTCATTACACAATGCATTTATTGTACTAGGACGCCTTACTGGGACATCTACAAGAGAAAATGCAGACAGGCAAGTTTCTTCGGTATGCGTCAGACCTGTTTCAAGACAGACGTGTGACTTCCTGAGTTTCTGGGTGTTTTGTTTGATTGCTCCATGCATACTGCTAACTCCAACTGTTGCTTTTGAGCAGAAGCCAGCATCGGATAAACAAATTTACCATTCACGTTGCCTGTGTGCTTCCGCCTTGCAGGAATTTTTTTTTCCTTGTCGTCTCTGTCTGCCGTGTTGACGTTTTCATCTGCCGTCTATTTTCCATCAAACACGCGTTCCAGACATGAGTGAAATATGAGATCCGGTGAATATTGTTCAGTGTTGCTCTAAGGCTCACATTGTGTGGTGTGACTGGAAACAAGATAATCTAAGTGAGACTGAACAATGTTCACCATTATGTAAAAGCCTATCAAAATCCTACTTCTGACTATGCTATTATAATATGCCCCCTTTCTGAAACTCTCACTACAGCTTGGATATAATTTGATCCCTGACATCTACTTTACTTAGCTTTTGTAAACGTTGACAACATCTGTGAGTGTGATGTTAACATTAGTTTGTCGGCACCGCCGTTCAGCTGTAACTGTTTAGGAATCGAGGTATAAATCAAACTTCACGTGTAAAGGCTCTGTGTTTGTGTTGGCCAGCAGCTGTTGAGATGATGGGGAACATGAGGTACAGCAGCGAAAGCATATCCAGCAGCTTAGGATACCTGTCACAACTAATGCACGCATGCTTCAGCAGTCCACTTCTCATGCCTTGTAACTCTAGCAGGTAAAATTCAGGACGCTATGCAAACATCTTGTCTAAAATGATTCAGAGAGCAGATGGTTTTCTGTCAAAAGCTCTGTGGAAAGTGTGACACCCGGTATGCTTGAAAAAACTTAAAGCTGCATCCTGTCGCAACGGGAAGAATCTGCGTTAACAGAGATGATGGGGTTGACATGGTTACCTTTTCTTGGCTTGGTTCGCTTGGACTCAGCATCCCCTCCTTCTCTCTCCAGTTTTTCCTCCCGCTCTTTCCAGCGGCGCACCTGCTCCTGGCGCATTTTCAGGAATAGAGTCTTTTTCTGGTCTTCATTAAGAGCGTTGAGGACATCGGGGTCGATGTACATGTCCTTTAAAATCTGCTGCAGCATGGTGCCGACTTAATGGTTGGTTAATTTGGTACCACCTTGCCAAACAGTCGGAGGGAGGAGGCGCTGTCCTTTGGTCAGCAGCTTCTTCAGGTGGACACTTTGCGGGGGTTGTTTATAGTCTCATCTTGTTAGGAGACTTTCACAGCTTCACAGTTATCCTAAAATCCCCTCTTATAAACTCTTCTTCATAAATCAAGGTGCATTCTCACACTCTGTTATGTACATATGTACAATCTAACACATAAATACACTCACACACACACACACACACTCACACACACACACAATCCTGTTTTCTGTCTGTGTTGTGCTCACAGTTTCCCCCACCCCACTACGATGTCAGTTCTCTTTGACTTTGGACGTCATCATTGGGTCAGTCTACAAGAAAAAGACACAAAGAACATTTGAACGATTACGCTGTGCCCTTTTCACAGCTGGAATGTAACACGCATTCCTTCATCCCCACATTTCTCAGAGACTGTTTTTCCCCCTGTAGCCTTTGGAAATTCGGTTTCAGTCGGCTATCTTGTCCCCTCCCTTCAAGAATACGGAAGAAACCAAAAGCCTGTTTCTGCACTGACAGAAACTCTGTCGTCCAGAATGGGAGGAGATTCCAAAGGAATGGATCTGTCATCAGTGGCCCACTTCGCTCCTTCCCCTCCCCACCACTCGTCCCTTCCCAAACCCATGTTCCTTTCTTCCCAAAACTCCCACAAGATAGCGGCTCCATTTTAACACAGTCAGTGTCTGGTTGTAAGAGAGAGAGAGAAAAAAAACGGGGTCATAGCCTAAGACAGCGTGAGCCAGTTTCTCTAACAGGGGGATTGAAATGGACTCCTCCAATCACAGTGGGTAGTTAACAATGGCTACCACATAAGCAGCACTTGGAGGGAAAGAAAGCTTGTCTCAGACTGAGAACTATCACACTGGTGGAATAAAGATTGGTGTCTGCTAAACACGTTGTAGGGTGCCGAGAAGGAAACCCGAGGAGAAGGGGGGGGGAAAGTGAGTGGAGAAAGTGAGTGATACAAAACAAAAGGGAGTTGTAAGAGAAGGGTAGAATTTGCTCAAGTACTCACAGTGGGATGTAGACAGCCGCTCCACAGCAGAGTATGCTAACTAAGCTGAGAGTCAGAGTGGCTGTGGGTCCTCCTCGTCTTTGTGTATGACTGAGCTGATGACATCACAGCATTCCATAATCGCTCTCCCCTCCCTCCTCCCTCTCCGACTCCCTCCCTCTCTCTCTCTCTCTCTCTCTCTCTCTCTCTCCCACACACATTTCATTTAAAATAGGCAAAGAGTGCGATTCAGGAAGTTGACCTCACACATTAAATAAGTCATAAAAAAAAGGAAACGAGCTCCTTTCCCCACATGCAAAACTCATCCAGCCAGCATTAAACTTTTACATCAACGCTGATGAAATGTGGGACAAAAAATGTGTAACTCTTGTGTTACTGTTGCACCCTTGTTTTTGTTTTTCCCTTCAAAAGCATTTTAGTTTATACGTAATTTAGGTTAATGAATGCTAAAATCATTTTAAACCCTATTCAGGACTTTTGGGGTCTTTTGGCCATTTGGTTTAGGTGACACGTATTGTTTTTTATTTTTGAAGATTCATACATTTGCAACCAAAAATATGTCAACTTATCAGAAAATGTATTTAACATAGTATAAAAGTCTATAATGCATACCAACAAATATTTTGCACATATTCTTTCTGGACCCCGAAAGACATCAAAGTCCTGAATAGGGTTAAGAAAAGCAATGGGAAGAGTTTTTTAAATTTCTTGTGCTTTATTCCATTAAACAATGACATTCCACTTAGTCTCGCTAAATCTTGTTCTGGCTGCAACTCATTATCATTCTGCTGTGGGGGGAAAACACTCTGACTTGTTTGTATTTCTTTAGTCACAAAGGTACCGGGTGGAGTTTAGCGAAGGATGCAGCAACAATGTCCCCTCGACGTATTGACTTATTGTTTTGGTCGAACCTTTGCATGCAGTGAGGTGTGACCTATCATTACAATCATAATACACTGATTATACTGTCTCGAGGTTGCTGTGAATAGCAAAATAGATTTTCAAAGCAGTAGCATGTAAGTAGTGGACTGGGAGGAGAAAGCCGTGTGAAATGGAACGACTAATGACAGACGTGTACCCACAATCTACAGACTGCTTTCGATTTAAGAAAAGTCTCTCTCCTGTCTATCAAAGTTGTATATTTCAAAGATACTACACCTGTGCTTTCTCTAGAATGTGCAGATCTACAAATGCCTCCCACCTCCCTGCAGCTCAAGCACACCAGCTCACCTATGCTCAAACACTGGAAAACTACTTTACGCTACACAATTGCAAGTAACACTGAAGTAATTCAGCCATACACGTTCAACCTGGAATCTGATTCTGAAGAAGAATAATGATACAGAAAGCCCCAACCTGACAGTCGACAGGATTGGTTCTTTAGGTTTGTTACATGTGAAACCTCAGGAGTCTGAATCCGCGTTTCTGAGACTATCGGTGAACTACAGTTTCAAGGTGGACATGCTCATTGCCGGCAGTCGCGGCCTTGACTGCTCATTATGCTCATGAAAAAAACATCATGTGGGCATGTTGACAAGGTAAAAACATGAATTTCACTGTACTGGGTTTAAAACACGAGTTCTGCAGTTCAGATGTAAATGTAGTTTGTTCAATACTTCAACCAAGTCAAAATAATAAAACCTAAACAGCAAATCCACATGAAGAGGCAGCGCTAAAATGTCCATGTGCCGTAAAACCAATATTTAAGTTGCTGTTTACTTTAAGAATGTCTGTTGATAATTCACAAACTGAAGGCTAAAGATTTTTCCTCAGCTCCGGCTAGTCGGCTCTGCCTCTGATCCAATCATTTGTAGGTAAAGAGCAGCCTCTAGTGGCTAAAATCAGAGAAGCCGCCTATGAATTACGTCACTGCCAAAGCCAGTGCAGAGCAGCTTCAGACTGTGGCACGAAATTAAAGTTGAATAAAAATGGAAGCAACATAAAAGCCGAGACAGCATTTTCAAACATATGCTGCCACCATATGGCTCGACAAAGCTCGGCACCGGTACGCCACAAATAAACAGACGCGTGCACACAAAAGGTACAAAAGTGGCAGGATGTTGCACATTGTAGCAAGCCGTTAGCAATATCCAGCGCTGTCTCAGGTGATGATGGCCATGTTTCAACAGCAATAAAATACAAATCTGGTCAAGCAGTTCTCTTGCATCTTGCAGCATGGCAGCTGGACCAGGCTCGACATGTCGTTTTATTAGCATACATCAGAATATATTTTGCCTTTTAAAAGGACAGTTATGGTTTGATAACTATTTCCGACGTCGTATTTGTGCCTCCAAAGCTGTGATGACCTAAACCAATCTCTATGTGGGTTCTTGGATGAAGAGCAAAGTCAGAATCTGAGTTGGCATCTGGGCTGGAGTCCATCTCTATTTAGCACATCCCCCTCAGTTTTTTCACCCTTTGCTCCTGGCCAACAGGCAGAGACCATCAACTTAACAACAGAGCCCAAACATACAAACGTCCTGCAGAAATGCCTTTGAGCATGTCCAGAGCCTGCACTCCGATCCGCCTGGGAAGTTTATAGTTCTGTCAGAGACGAGCTCGTCTCATCCTTATGCTGATATTGCTCTAATGTGGTTTCTTCTGGTAGGTGGTCGAGGAGAAGGTAAATACTGTTTAATGTTGATTTCTCTGGCAACGTCTCCCTGTGTGGAGCTTTGAGTTTAGAGGCGCAAACAACACTGAGGCTGCAGATGATCTGGTGAATGATAATGTCTGACCTATTTTCTGCATTTACATAATAATAATTAACATCTTCTATATCATGCTATATTATTAGCAGGCCTTAAACCAGAACTCTAACTTGTGCCCATCTAATTCATAAATAGTTATAAAATTGATAAAAGATTTTCTTTTGCTTTGCCTTAAACAAAATGTTAAAAAGCCCCAAAAATGATATCACGACAAAAATTCTTCTTTACAGTTAACCTTAAAAGACGTGCAGGTTCTGTTGGGTCCTGAGCTATAAGTAGTAGCGTAATATGAACAGTAAAACTCAGAGGAGCAATTGTTGCACACAGATCATCACAAATTGCATAGTCAGGATGATTAGAGAACAAAGTAATGCTTTATTTTACAGCCTGGTATTACACATACAGTACTAATATAGAAATCTCTAAGAAGACATGAGTCATCAGGTACCTGTCATTGCAAAGTTTGCGTTTTGGAGGCTGTAAAATTAAGCTTTCGTACTTTAGTGTCATTGCAAATGTAGAGTCAGACATTGTAGACAACACTACATCAAAATTAAACATACTTCTCATCAGTGAATTGTAGACATTTTGTTAAGTTTTCTTTTCCTCCCTCCCCCGTCCCCCCCGGACAAGAAACGAAACATGAAAAACACATACATTTTGAATGTAGATTTTCCCTCATGGGTAAATTAAATTTATTTTTAAAATTTGTCAAATGTACATAAATTATATTTAATGCATCAAAAACCAAATGAGCAAATCAAATACCCTCTTAAAAAAAAAAAAGAAAACAAAAAAAGAGGCAACATAAGAGAGAACGACATTCTTTGTTGAGATCATTTTAAACAAGTATTGGTCAGGCATTTCATTAACCTGGGAAAGCAAAGTGCTACACACAACAACCACTGAAGACAGTTCACCATACACCTTAATGAGGATTGGACTGAAGCACCTTTTCTTAGCTTAAAGCTAAAATGGAGATTTCACTGTTTTTTTTTTTTTTTTTTTTTTGTTTCTTTTGTTTTCCTTTTCACAAAAACTCCATTGTATGTGTACAGTCTACCTTCAACAAACCACAAGCCAAGTTTACCCTTTTCCTTGAGAGGGGCACTCTTGCAGTGACAATGTTCTGTTTCAAGTTAAAGTACATGAGTGAACTGCTTGACCCAACAGGCTGCTAAGACCTTGGTTTACTATATATATTTTTTTTTTCTCCAGGATGGAGCTTCGAGTGCAAATAAAGGCGTACAACTCCTTCATGAGAAATAAACATGGAATTCAGCCACATGCTTTCAAATAGTAATCATATATTTAATTGATATACATATATTGCCACCATTGGCACATACGATATTGCACACAGTGATGAAATGTTGCACAGAAAAAAAATAGATATATTTTTTTGTGGGCGAAAAACATTCCAAAATTACAAATAATGTGGAATAACGCTGAAAAGGTAAAACTACATAAAACAAACGAAACAAAAAAAAAAAAACAAAAAAAAAACAAAACAAGACATGCTTGCTACTCCCCATTAATTGAGCGACTTACAACTTACACATAACTATCCAAGCCATAGAACAAGCATTTCAAGGGGGGTGGGGGATGGGGGGGGGCTCGACCAACAACAATTTCTATCATTTCAGGCCCCAACTGATGTTCCCAATCAGCCCCTGCTCTCCCTGCTAATGCGCTTGGCTAGTGAAGAGCCGACTCTTCTGCATCATCTTGCATCTAGGTGACCACCCCCTTCCATGTTTACATGTAGGCCGATACCTGGATGGCTGGGGAATGGGGATGGCATTGAAGTTAGGAAAGAAGGAAGGAAGCAGAAAAAAGTTAAGAATTCTGCTCCTATTTATTTCTTTTTTTTTTTTTTAAAGGGTTTGTAACCAAACCCTTTTAGCACCACGAGTCGTGCGCTAGCACACGAGGGGGGCTGAGACACAAAAATGGAAGAAAGAAAGAGGAAACAATAACAGAAAGAAGCCAAACTGCGATCCAAAGCACCAGGCCAGCGTGTAAGCATGCGGAGTGTGTAAGGCACCAGGTTGTTTATATGCTGAAGAGGATGCTCCCAATCAGGTATCTTTTAGGCTATACCAGAGGCTCCAAAAATAGGTGGTCAAGGACAGTCTAGTTTGCTGGTTTCCAGTCAATCTAAACATGGGAGCAATCATTTAATTCAATGCTGAGGTAAATCTGACATTATCTGATTGTTGCCAGTTTCTCTGGAGATTACTGACAGAGTTTATAAAACTGCTATCACACATCTATGAGATGCGACTGAACTGGATTAGAACCAGTTGTTTTCCGTGTGGCAGCCCAAATATTTACAATTAGACCAAAACAGAATCTCATCACCCCCAGGTAGATAT